TCGTTGATTATCTGAATATTAGAGCCGCGAAATCTTATAATTACATTAAGGATTTTGCCTTCGGAAGTTTATATTTTCATGGATCATTCATATAACTGTGTAAATTATTAATGATCAAAGTCGGGACTTTTAAATTGTACTATTATTAATATCCTTAAAAGGCAAATTTAAAAAAAAGAAAATTGTTTGTAGGATAAACTAAATTCAAATGTCTTCTGTTGATAATATGTATAGCTTTTCTTTCATAAGAAATACAATCAATTTACTTCGAAGGCATATCTTTTGCTGTGATACCCTCTTGTTATCGAGCGTACATAGCCCCGCCTCACCTGAGCACTTATTTACAGTACAGTAGCGAATAAAGTAAGGGATAATGATAGACAAAAATCATATTTAGATACTCGTACATTGGTTCGTTTATTCTGGGGTTTCATATTGTGACTACAAGGAAAGTGTTTTTTATTCTTGCCTTCGATACAAAAGAGAAAGAACATCAAAACACTTGGCAATCTGAGTACAAATCAAATACGTTTGTGTTAGGATGATATTTCTATTACGTATAAAACTGTACATCGTTAAGATAAAAAGATTAAAGCTTTACAAGATAATACCAGCAATATGTGGCCATCTAATCTTATTAGAGTATGTTAATCATGTTCATACAAGAGTATACAAGAAAATCATTGATGCAAAGCATCAAAGGGCGACGCCAAAAGAATTTGATCCAGATTTGCACCTAAATACTTAACAAAAGATGTGTACTTTATAGCAGTACCATTACATGTGACCTGGAGGCTAGGGCCAGTTTAAGTTGAAACTTAAACCAAAAAAGAATAGACTCTGTCTTGCCAAGATGCAAAGACAATTTATAGTCAATTAAGCAATCTTATAAGACTCATGCTATAAGAAAGAATTTCTTCAGATTTATTTTATGAGACACAAGGATTCCTGAGTCATCAGCATATAATCACAGGCACGAGTATCGGACCTGGGAAGAAAAAATATGACCAGATGACCAGATTGATAAAAAAACTGTGTTTATAAAAACCCCCCAAAAAATGTAAATAATGATCCCCTTTAAAAATATACTATCAACTTGAAGTATATTTTTAAAGGGGGTCATTATTTACATTTTATTTTTGGTTGTTGACACTTTAAGAAATGAACACAGGTTTTTATCAATCTGGCCATATTTTTTCTTCCAAGGTCTGATACTCGTGCCTGTGCATTATAATAAAAGCTTACTGCTTAGGGTTGAAGACATGTAATTGACATATATTAGAACATAAAAAAGGACCTAAAATGAACATCAGGGGGACAGCATAGGTACTCAGAGCAGTGACTGTAGTAGAATAAGTACCAGCCACATCAACCAGCTACTATCAGAGATAAGACTTAAACCATGTAAGAATGTCATTATATATGGCAGATGCTTGAAGTTTCATGAAGAAGAAGAAAAAACAACTTCTTCATGTGCAGTATAGTGTGTTCAACTGTATCAAATGCCCTTTGTAGATCTAAAAGTATCATACAATACTGCCCTTGTCCATTTCAAATAATGCAATCTGTTAAATGAATCAAACATGTGTCAATTGAAAAAACCACTTCTAAACCCTGACTGAAACTGCCTGACCATGACTCGAACCCATGACTTTCAGAAGACCAACTGAGCTATCCGGCCTGCTACACATTTTCTCTTTAATAATGAAACAGTTCTAAACCACAACATATTTCCCCACTATATTGATTTGTGTTCGTGAATTTCTTATGTTACAGAGCATAGGAAATTGAACTCATGCTTATATGCAGTCACAGGATGAGAAAAACTTTGAGCTTGACCAGAACTCAAACCTGTGACCAACGTAAGAAATTTTATGAAGGCTGATTTGTATTTTGCATCAAGGGCACCGGGCAAAAACATGAAAATGCAACAAACAAACCACTTTGTTACTTTTTGTACTATGTTGGTTTTCATGTGGCACAAATCACCCACTATAAATTTAGTGCACAAATTTATTCAAGGGCAAGTAACAATCTACTCTATGTACAGTCTGTTGTCGGGTTGACTCAGGAGACCTGGAGGTTGAGACCGGTGTCCCTTCATTACAAATAGATAAGACAGAAGCTGTCCTTTTCAAACTATGCACATGTTTAGAAAAAAAATAGAATAACTATTCAGAATATGATTTTTTGAGACTTTATATTATTATATTGCTTGATCCAAGTTTAAGGACATTTTCAATCAATACATGTTTTATCATTTATAACTTTAAATGAAAGTCTCATCCCTTTAATAATAATGACATAACTGTATCTCTTTTAAATGCAGAAAAATTATAAGTCTCAACATATCAATATAGATCTACTACTGTCTAAGATATACATGTATGCACATAACATTAATAATTCCCAGTTTATATTAAATAAATATGAAATCCTAACATTAACATTAACATGCTTTGTGATGACCTTACAACTGGTGAATTATATACAACAAAAATAGTATTATAAGTAATACCTAAGATAGACAGAAAAGAACAAATAATTTAGTAAACATGAGTTACTTCCCCTTACAATAAAGAAAACCTGAACCCAAAAGAACACCCTAAACAGCAAAATTATGAAATGCTGCAGGTTCAGTTTTATCAAACCATGCAAATTAATGGTAAAGTATTCATAAAAAAAACAGATGGCCATGTGTCAGCAGTAATTGCAGAAAAATCGGATAGCTTTCAACATCCGGATACTGGTACACTTTGTAAAAACAACCATTCTGCGCAACAGATAAATGTAATAAGGATAAAATCAATAGGATAATCGTTTACAACAGTTTCCATTACCTATCCTTATACTCAATTGCAGGTGTGAACTTTCTTCTTGTAGGAAAATTTTGAAAATGTATAAATGAATGAATGAACTGATACGGCCTCAATCTAGACCACAACGATATTCGAAATCCGGGTTTTAGTATTGTCATTAAAACTAAGGGACAAGCTGTTAAACTTAACCTGCAATTTCGTGAAAATAATATCACAATGCACATGCTTTTTACATAAAGTTATTAAATACAAATATAACAACACATTTGTTTACTTGATTTTTACGAATCAAAATAAAACTAATTAACACAACATGAAATTAACTGCTAATAATAACAGCTCCTTCCATAGGCAAAAATAAAAAGCGTTCCATAATAGACGACGCCGCTCACCGGCGTCGCCAATAAACATACACATAAACTGATGATTTTCTATAATGTAAAAAGTTTGTATTATTGTCAAGACCAGTCTTTAAACTAGAAATGTGTCCATAGGACACGGGTGCCCCCACCGCGCCACTGTTCTGTCAATCTTATGACTCTAGAGCAGTATTTTCTGAAAACTAAAAATCTTTTACTAATTAAAGGGCAAGAACTTTACAAATACTGAATAAATCCACGAGCAAACCCCAAGGTGCATAAGTACAACATAATGAAACGGTTTTTACTATGTCAAGGGTAATAACTCTACAAATACTTGATAAATCCACAAGCAAAACCCCAGGTGCAAAACTAAATATGCTGAGCAACCTTCCCATAAGGTTTAATGACTCTATGTCAAATACTTTTTGAGTTACATGCGACACAAGTTGAAAATTGCAATTTTTTTCTAAGTTAAGGGAAATAACTCTAAAAATACTAAATAAATCCAGACAAAAATACCCAGGTGCACAACTACACATGCTGATCAACATTCCTGTAAAGTTGCATGGCTCTATGTCAAATCCTTTTATGAGTAACATGTGACACAAGTTGAAAAATGCAAAAATTTACTAAGTCAAGGGCAATAACTCTAAATATCCAGACGAACATACCCAGGTGAACAACAACACATGCTGATCAACATTCCAGTAAAGTTTCATGACTCTAGGTCAAATCATTTTTGAGTAACATGCGACACAAGTTGAAAATTGCAAAATTTTACTAAGTCAAGGGCAATAACTCTAAAAATACTAAAAATATCCAGAGGAAAATACCCAGATGCACAACTACACATGCTGATCAACATTCCTGTAAAGTTTCATGACTCTAGATCAAATACGTTTTGAGTTACATGCCACACAAGTTGAAAATTGCAAAAATTTACTAAGTCAAGGGCAATAACTCTAAAAAATACTAAATAAATCCAGACGAAAATACCCAAGTGTACAACTACACATGCTGATCAACATTCCTGTAAAGTTTCATGACTCTAGATCAAATACGTTTTGAGTTACATGCCACACAAGTTGAAAATTGCAAAAATTTACTAAGTCAAGGGCAATAACTCTAAAAAATACTAAAAATATCCAGACGAAAATACCCAAGTGCACAACTACACATGCTGATCAACATTCCTGTAAAGTTTTATGACTCTAGATCAAATACGTTTTGAGTTACGTGCCACACAAGTTGAAAATTGCAAAAATTTACTAAGTCAAGGGCAATAACTCTAAAAATACTAAAAATATCCAGACGAATATACCCAGGTGCACAACTACACATGCTGATTAACATTCCTGTAAAGTTTCATGACTCTAGGTCAAATACTTTTTGAGTTACGTGCGACACAAAAGTGAACAGACGGACGGACGGAAGGACGGACGGACAAGGGGAAATCGAAAAGCCCGCCACTAAAGTGGGGGCACAAAAAGAATAAAGGATGGTTATCATTATATATCGGAGAAGATTTGCAATTGTGAAATATCTAGCTATCTTAGTTACGCCCCCTAGTACAAATCAGCCTCGTGTAGGTACTGAATTTCATTGACATTTGATAAACTTCTTTTTATCTATTTTAGAGATAAATATCTAATGTTTGGAATTCTTTTTCGCGCATGTAATAGAATCTTCACAATACGGTTTCATTACCAGCAGCATCTTCATATTGATTATTAATTGGTTGAATCAAGTCTACACTAAGAGTTATAAATTGTCATTAAACTTACTTGTGTACAAAGGCTGCAAGTAACGCACCGAGGGATTGACCTATCCAGTAATATATAGTGGTATGTCCAGGCGTTGTTTAAAACAGGCTGATGCCACGATGGCCGGCCCGAGAGCTCTTGCTGGGTTCATAGAGGCACCGTCAGCATGCCCCTTAAATACAAATCGTTTAAAGGTTATTGATGTTTATATATGAAAGTATGAACAGTGCGCATAATTAACATGATGATCACTAGGATATCATAAGTTAATTTTTTTATGATAAACAATAAAATTCTATCAAATATTCTATTTCTTTGAAAGGGAAACAATTCCTACCCAGCCATAATGTCGACAACAACAGCAAATCCTATAGCCAGAGGAGCCAATTTTGTTTTAGTTCTAGCATTGACAGCTGTCATTAGCACTGTAAACACAAGCACAGTTGTCAGCACCATTTCAATAAGTAGACCCCAACCAGGCTCGACATCCTCCACAGTTTTCATCCCGACATCTTCAAATTTATTTAGATGATGAACTCCACCCCCTATTTTAGAATATTCCACCTTCGGTAAAGTTCCCTGAAAATCAATGATTAGTTATCATCATTAGGCGTGTATACGATAACTTAATAAAAGCACCTACAAATAAATTTACATTGTCATTACATTGTCAATGCTTTTATGTATTCGATTGCATTTGACATTATTTAAGTTTTCAATTTTTTAATATAAACTTGACACTATCTTTGATAAAACTTGACATTATCTAAGCTTACACTTGACATTGTCTGGGATTGACCTAAGATAATCTGGCAAAAACCAGGTTTTTTAAAATGTAACTTTGCTGGGAACCAATTGGGACAAACCCTTGGGTTGAAATTTGACCTCACGTATTTTCACTTGGACATTGTGTGGGAGAAATTTACTAAACTTAGATGGCACTTGACATTAATCTACATTTCTACGTTTCACCAAAATTAACATACTTATTAAATATACACATGAATTGCTGCACTGGACATAAAATTTATATTATTATTTTACGTTGAAAGATTAAAAGGCCCATATAATTGTATTAGTTTTTAATAATGAAAATAGGAAGACATACATAAAACGTATAAAGTTTAGGGAGAAAATTACACTTTTGGTAACTTCTCATGAAAAAAAGGGCACAATCCGTTTGTGTTAAAATTTGCATAAAATGATATTTTAAATAATAAGATAAATATTGAACATATTCATCAATATTCTCCCAATACCACCACTAATTTATACAGTCCAGACTGTTAAAGATCTATCTGGAGTACCGATTTACTGATGGGAGAAACACGCTGCATGACAACGACCTTCTTTATGAAAAAATAAATTTCATATATAATTTTTATTTAAATTCATCACAAATCATTTCATAAGTATGTTAAACTTATAAAATATATATCATCAATCAATCATAAGTTGCTTTTACATTCACCCATGCATATCTTTAGATGCATATTTTAGCGAGCGTGACAGCGTGTGTGCATAAAATCAAGAAGAGATTGAAAACTTAATAAATATATGGTAAATTTTACAGGTAGTTCTCGTTTTTCAACATTTTAAGACAGATTTTGTAAACTGTGATTTCATTTAGATGAGGCGTTAGCACGTGTCTGAATCTTGAAATTTCGTTAGTTATATAATATAGAAATATAAACCATTACATATCGAGTTAGTAATAGAAAGAGCACCGAAACACGGATGTTATCTGATTTGTACGAGGGGGCGTAGCCCCCGAGTATTAATCAGATTGCCGAGAATTTGATGTTCTTTCTCCTTATTATCATAGTCAAACATAAAAACACGTTCCCTGTTGTCACAATATGAAATCCCGGGAAAAAGTAACCAATTAACGAGCATCTGAATATGATATTTCTGTCGCTTTCCCTTCCTCTTCCGTCACAATAAGTAAACCCCAGCAAAAAATGAGTCAATAAATGGGCATTCTCTGGAGAGCGGGTAACTAATACCTGCACTCCAGTTAACGCACAGTGCATGTATATGATTTAACTCTGACACATTTTCAACAGGAAGGTACCCAAACTATGATACAATTTCCCTTTAAATAAGGTGATGACATTGAAATAATGCATCTCAAACACGTGTACATAGATAGATGACAATTCCTCACATACCCTGAATGATCCAGTCACACACACATGACTCGTAATACAATCATGTATAGACAGTTTAAAATTATTTATTGATATGATGATATAAATAAAAAAAATGCCCATATCTAAAGGATTTTTCAGTAAATTTCAACTTTCAATAAATACTTGCCCTAACAAGCGAAGCCCCAAGAATACCGCCTAATATTTGTCCAACGAAGTAACCTGGGGCTAGATATACGGGCAGACCACCGGCTAGCGTCACTCCTAAAGTTACTGCAGGATTAAAATGACCACCACTGAAAAAAATAGACATAGATTCATATACAAGTGTTTGTACAGTTTTCATTCAACCGGACTATAATCTTGACAAGTTCATATTGCTGAATATATGGCTATAAAAATGTACAATAATCTTTTTCATTGTTTTGATTTCACTGGTGTTGTCTGAAAATTATGTAGATTTTCCTGTATTGATTCCTTAATATTTTAACTTGCCTTGGTCGTGAAACTAAATGTGTTTTAACGTAATTGTGTATAAAATAAACTAGCAGAATACACTATGTTCATACCACAGATAAATGACTTACCTTATTTCTCCTAACCCCATAATCAGTATCGCAATAGTTAAACCATGTCCTAGTGCTGCATTAACTAACTGACCACTGACCAGTGAACAACATCCCACAAATACAAACAATGTCACACCAACTGTTTCTGCTAATATTGGTCGCAATATTCTGTCAAAAACTGACGGTTCATGTCCCCGTGGCTCCGATGTGGAATCATTCTTATTGATCAAATATTCTGTATCCGCCATTATAGGTCTTAGTAAGTGTTCCTTTGTCTACAAATTATGAGTGATTAGTCTGTATCTTCGTTGTCTGGATTATCAGTTTCACATGTCCTGGATGATTTTTAAAATTAAGTCATTATATAGATTAAAATAGTCACATTAACATCATGCGAGATTTATATCTGATAAAGTCATATGCCTCCAATCTACCGGTACTAGTTAATTTTATATACACTACTATATACTGTGTTCTATATACCTGTACATTTACCTATGTGTGTATAATAAATGATCAATAACACGAATATAAGTTGTAGTACAGTGTAGTGAGCGGATAGTTTGTTAAAGGCACACCACTGAGGTCAACTATAGCATTGCACTTTAAAGCAGCAAGCCTCCAGATTCATGTTGATTTTCATGAAAATTTTGGAAATGTATTTAAAAGTAAAATATTGTGAGGTGACCAAATAAAGTAATTAACATATTGCAATCGGCACTTACAATCCGCAAAAAATACCAAAAAGAGGTAAATATATGCTAAATCAGCCCTTACTGCGTTAGTAGCGCAGTAGAAATATGATGATAAATACTAAAACACCAGTCTTAAACCGCACGTGCATTCTAAATATAACTTGAATCTTAAATGTTTTTTAACTTTCTTAAAATTTCAGTACATTTTTCTCAATACTTATTTTCTTGAAATATTTTGGCTCATCTGGAGGCGTGCATTTTTAAATAGAAAGAGAAAGGTACACTAAAGATATTTAGGAAATATAATCAGAAATAATTTGAAAATCGTAATTTTGTGTTATTTGTAGCCTGATTAAAAAGAAAAGCGTTGCAACGCTTTACAATTTTCCGACATTACAATAAGAATAATTGTTCTGGTACAACGTAGTGAGCGAATGATCTGAAAGTTTGCATAAAATGGAACATTAATCTTGAAAATTTATTTTCAGTCCCGTCATACAAAATATCCTCAGTGAAGCCCCTTTAAACGATACTTTATGTCAAAGGAGGATTTCATCAACTAATTAATTAAAAACAATAATTCCGATTTTTAACAAAGACGCCGTGATATAAATAATAATGAACTACACATAAAATGATAAACATAATATAAATGATCAACTTACAGTTAAACGTCAATACTTCATATTCGGTGTCCTCCTGAAATAACGTATGTACATGTGTTAAAGAAGCCTTATCTTATCAAACCCTAACAACCCTTATAACTGTATTTATATGGTGATAGTAAAACTTTAGTACTGTGTTAACGTTGGCATGGCTATACACAAATAAAATTATTTGGTTGCAGTTCATTAACAAAATGTCATATACATTATATGTAGCCAATCCGAAGGCATATAGAAGCACATAAGTTTTTGCTAATTATATATATAATATTTTTAACTTTAATTATGACCGATGAGAGATCTTCATTTCAATTATATATATATATCACCTATGTTCTCTAAATTTAAATCCCATTTAATTTTTAAAAATCCCCATTATTTTTTTTTCCCCAATTTCCCATAAATTTGATAGCTTTTCCCAAACTGTTTTTCTGGGGTGGTTTTAATTCCCCCAAAACATTTTCCACTAGTAAATTTAAAATTTAATTTATTAAAGTTTTCCACTACCCAAAATCTTCATTTCTCCCCCACGCTGTCCCCGGGCCCGACCCAAATTCTCCCAACCGCCTTCTTCCCATTTAAATTCCCAAAATAAAAAGGTTGACAAGCTTTAAAAAAGTTTAATTTGTTTTAAATTGATTAGACATTTTTATTTTTTCTTAACTATGTTTTAAAAATCTGCCCCCAAATCTTTTTAAAAATTTATTTCAATAAAAAACCAAAATTTAGTAAAATTTTCAGTTTGAAATTTCTGATATTAACCCCATTACCGCATGAGCATATTGTGAAAAATGGCCATTTTCATTGAAAACTGAAAAGCCTCATGTAACAAGTTCAAACTGCTATGAAATTATAAAAAATGCTTCAGTACTGTAGAAACATGGCACACATGTTGACTAGACCATAGCCACTGTAACAGACGTCTCAAAATTGCATTGTTTTCTTTTCCATCAAAACTAATTTCAAAGTGCTGCAACTTCTCAATGTATTGTGATAGAGTGAAAGGCTTTTCAGTGTTGGTTACACGTTACCTTACGATCGACCTGAGGCCATTTGTAGCTTGTCACATGTCCGAAATTTTTCTTCAATCCCCCGAAACACAAGGGGGCACATCCCCCTTCTGGCAATCCCGTGAAATACCTTTTTGATAGGGGCGGTGCCGAAAAAGTGCTCACTTTTTTATCAACATTTCTCAAACGAAAAACAGTGTATGGGGCTTAAATTGGGAGGCGAAAAGCCGTCAAAACATGTCTATATGAGGTTAAAGGTTAATAAAAGTAATTGTAGTTATTGTTATAGACAAAAAATGTCAGCGCAGTTTTGTAAAATCATTTTAATACATGCATGTATGTGAATAATAATAAGATTAATAAGTTGTTCAGGATTTCTATTGTACCCGCGTATACTTCTTCTATACTGTAAGCGGAAGTAATACGTCATAAGGGGGCAGGGGACATATTCGAATGATGGCCCCGGTCAAATTTTTTTATAACTCAGACATGGTGTTTTGAAGGTACTGATAACTTCTGATATTTCTCTGTCATTGTATTTCATTCTTGTTTGTGTGTAGGAAATGAGAAGTATTTTTGGGTTTTTACCTGAAACTAAGCATTTTGGTAGCTTTATATGTATTTCCGAATGGAGGTGAAAAAGTTAAAAATCAAGCTTTGACAGTTGGCGCCAAACAAGTAAGAAATTTCAGATAAATTTTGTGAAAAATCTAAACGTATGACAGACACTTTATTGGTCATTTCTGAAAATGCCATAGCTTGCACTGCATGTTACTGATATTTTTAAAGGAATCGGGAGGATTCTGGAGTATGCTGCACCTTCATGAAGATTGCCCATATTGGTATATTTTAGGTGTGATTTTGGCTGGGTGGGGGTAAATATAAATTGCTGTCAGTCATTTTTTGAAGGAGCAATACATGCAAACTATTATTTTCTTCAATGTATGTCATATATCATTGAATAATGCTGTGCAACTGGTTATCTGCCTGTGAAACAGATTTTGAAATATTTGGAATTGTGTTTCTGGTCACACTGAAATACAAAATTGTTCATTTTTAGGTCACCTGCCCCCTAATCTCGGTCTCGTCTGTCTAGCGAGAGTAAAAGAACGGCGCCAATGAACTTATTTCTCAGGTAAAAAATATTGTCTTAAAACACGAATTTCTCCGTTATACAGTTGATTTCAACAGGGAGACTGTCATGGTACCTCTTTTTTAAGCAAAAATATCTATATAAGACATGCATCAATTTATCATTTCCATTCCTTTAAAGCTGCACGCCTCCAGATGAGCCAAACAATTTCAAGAAATTTAATCTTTAATCATATCCCTTTTGGAACGAAAAAGTGTTTTAGTTATGATAATTTAATCGATATAAGTATTAACTAAGTGCATAATGCTAAATTTAATAACAAGTATTGTACCTGTTACTTTCAAAGTGCAATAAAATCAAAACTAGACGGTAAAGGTATTTAATATTTTACAAGAGCAACCAGTATACTTTCGAAAAAAAATTAGGGAAACCTTGAAAACTGGCACTCATTTTAGTAAATTTAAGTGATTATTTAATTAGGATCTCTAAGAAAATTATAAAATTATAATTTCCCACAAAAGTGTTTCAGTTTTTTCCCCCCCGTTTTCAATCACAAAAGTAAAAAAAAGGTATAAAGCCATTTTTTAAGGTTTTTATTTTAAAAAAGGTTTTTGAAATTAAAAAGTAACCCAACTTTTTTTGCGTTTTAATTTCCCAAATGTTTTTTAGGGTTAGACCAGTTGTTTTTTCCTCCTTTAGCCGTTAGTGGTGGCTCCTTAAACTTTATGGGACATGTGACATAGTTTCATTGCAGTTGAGGCTTTTCAATGAAAACGGCCATTTTTCGCAATATGCTCATTGGGTAAAAGATTAAAATGGGTGGGGTAGGGTAACATTTATTTTTATTTAAAAATTTTGAGTAGAAACAATTAGTTTGCTTTTGTGGATTGTAATATGAATGTTACATTCTGCTTCTTACCAAAAATTAATGGGAAAACATATTTCATAAGGATGATAATGTAGATTATTTAAAGGTTCTTTATTTCTGAAAAAGGGTCCTTCTAAAAGCCAAGATTAAATTCAGAAAAGTGACAATTACTCGATTTTTGTACGTTTTTTTTTTAAATTTTTGCATACAGGTGTTTTTTTAAGGTATATATCTGACCTATGTTGTCAATTTTTCAGCTCCTTATAGTTCCCGTTAGGATGGTCATACCTTAATATCTTTAAGCTGCACGCCTACAGATGAGCAAAAATATTTCAAGAAAAACAATATTGAGAAAAATGTACTAAATTTTTAAGAAAATAAAAACACTCAAGATCAAAATTATATTTAACATGTTATGTGCGGTTTAAGACTGGTTTAGTTTAAACAATATTTATTTTCCAAATAGATTTACACACATGTTATACAATTTTACACAATCTAGTAATAACAAATAGAAATGTAATAAAAACAATCAGACTGATTTGCAGTATTTTATCACCATATTTCTCCTGCGTTACTAACCCAGTAAGGGCTGTTTTTGTATATGTTGACCACTTTTTGGTATCTTTTTTTGTTTGGGTCGTCAGACCAAACAAAAATGGTAGCGAAATTTCAGATTCTGATGCTGTTAATTGCAAATGCCGAGAGTAGTCCGCTTTTTTGAAGCGGTCAATTCCCTTAAAATGTACACTAACGCCGAAAAAATTCAGGGGAGATCACTGCGTAAAGATTGTCAAATGACAGGCGCATTTATTTTCAAGCAAAATAGTTCCCGAATGGTCAAAGATTTCTAATAGTGTTTATTCTTTATAGATATACATGCTTATAGTAAGCTTCATGATTATTTACATCTGTGTTAAACGTCGAAATAATACCCTTATTTAGAATCATATGGTTTTGTTCAGGCCGTTAACATATAGCTTCACCGTGGCAGAGGGGTTTGCACGCTCGCTTAGGAATCCAGAGGTATGGAGTTCAAATCCCAGTTCAGGCATCTATTTTATTTTCAGATTGTTTAAATCAAATAAACATTGGTTATTGAATATCAGTGTTGCAATTAGTCTTATAGCCAATTTACTACAGTTAAAACACTGGCACTATACAAAAACAAATTGGTTTATAATCTCACAACCTTCACCTTTCTAATATTCTGAGACCCAAACAAATTCAGCGCCCTCTGTGCTTTGATTACTGTAAGTGGCGATTGCATTATGTAAATTGCTTTACTTGTTCATCCCACAATATTTCATTTTTAAATATATTTACAATTTTTTTATGAAGATTAACATGAATCTGGAGGCGTGCTGCTTTAACGAAAGTAAAAATATTCAATATTCAAATAATTATATAATGTTATGTGCGATTAATGACTAATTTTGCAGTATCAATCACTATAATTCTACTACGTTACTCACGCAGTAGGAGGAGGTATTTGTGTATGTTTTGACCTCTGTTTGGTAATTTACGAGGATTCTAAGTGCCGTTTGCAATGTGTAAATTAATTTCCTTGTTTATTTCACAATATTTTACTTTTAAAAACATTTACAAATTTTCATGAAAATAAGCATGAATCTAAAGGCATATGCTGCTTTAATGATTTTAAGTTTTAAAGTTGTCTGGACAACTTCTCTTATACTAGTTATGCAATTTAAATAAGATTTTATTGATTGATTGATCGTAGCTCAAGTACTTGCGCATACTACTTTGGTTTTCCGTTTTTGGCTGAGTTATGGTCCTAGAATAAAAATGTCCCTAACCTGTAAATGATTTTCGTGATGCCTGCTACATAGTAGCTTATACATACTACAAAGTAGCCACGACTTTAAACGATCACTTCTTCGTCGTGTGTCTGTCCATCGGTCTGTTTTACTGTCTCTATGTCCGTAACAAAACTTGTCTAAACTACTCCTCAAAAACTTCTTGTGCAACTTCAGGAATGATAAGTACCAAGTCTAGTTGAGCATGTCGTCGCCATTTTTCAGGTCAATATTTTTGTCAGAGTTATTGCCCTTTAATGATTTCAATTTTTTTCAGTTTGTCCGGGCAACTTCTCTTAAAGTAGTTATGGAATTTTAATAAAACTTTTTTGATTGAT